ATGAGCTCTTTTTTCCAAACCTCCTTTAGATTTATTTGCATTTTTCCTCCTTTAAATCATCATCTGTACTTCCATGATACTAGCCCACTTAAAGATAACATTGCCTCAAGTTTTAGAAGCAGCAGACCCAGTAATACCTGCAAAGAGCAACCCCCAACATTAATCCCAGAAGAGTCATATACTGTTCATGCTAAACAGCCTGCAGCTTTCAGCTCCTCCTTTCAGATCATTTGGAAGGAAATGTAGATTGGAACTGTCAGGACTGCTGAAAACTATGTTATTTCCCTGGACTGCCTGCAAACTGGCCCTGCGGACTCCAGAAACAGAACAGGCATACAGGTTTGACAGATGTAGTTTGTGAACTTCCCGACAGTGGGAAGCAGATTATTTTTCTTTAAACTTTTTCTGATTATTTTTGCTCTACTACTAAAAATTAGCGCTACTGCTGAATAAATTAAAAGCCCTACAAAAATGCAGGGTAAATATTGTCTTTATACCTGGAAAAGAGAAGCAATAAGATATCGAGTGCAGTCCTCTCTAGTACTTCGTTCCTTACTCTAGAGCTAGAAAATAGCTGCTGCAGTCGGTCTTTCTATGGATTGCGTTTCTGGGTACCACTCATACTGATGAGATGTCACCAATCAAACAAGCTGTGCAGTCATTCCACCACAGAGGTTATAACCTTCAGGTGATGCCACAACCTGTCATCCGATTCTCAGTAAGGTAATTATTGCAAGTATGCCGTCAATCAAGCAGAGCAGGCTTCCACAGATTTGTCCACTCATTGAGCACTGAATGCAAGTCACACTTAATTCCACTGCAGGTACATGAACAGACCTTCCATGACAGCTGTGGTTCTTTGCCACATCAGTAGGCACACAGGTGGGAACCAAACAAATCTTTCCCAGATTGTGTGCCTGTGCTCACGTATGTATTAAATGAGACCAAAAAGGAGAACATCCACTTCAGAGAGTATTTCAGGTTACCATGAAGAAAAACTTGTGATTTGATTTATGCTTGGTGATAGCAGAGCTTAAAACCTTACATCTCAAAAGTATCCCCCTTTCAATAAGCACCTCCAAGTGTGCTCTGTGAACAGAACTGGCAGGTACCTCATCTAGTTTTGGAAATAAAACTATTTGGACTCATCCAGCTGGTAAAGTATTTCAAATAAAAATATGTAAAATGTCACTTAGAAAGCAACACCTCAGAGCAGCAATGGTCACCGGTTTTTCATTTTACTTAAATTTCTGTAAGCTTTATGCCGTTTACTCAAAAATTGAACTCCGGTCCACTAGCTTGACAAAAGCTCCATGTAGAAGTCATACATCCTTTCCTTCTATCACCGTGGTATCTGTACATTTCAGTATCTCCCATAAAAAACGGTGCATCACTGCACATCTTTGTGTTTTCTTTCAGCTTCCATGTAGGCTCCACAGTCTCAAATAAAAGCCTGAGCCACTGGGCTTTGTGCTGTCTCCAGCTTGCTCCCAACTGTTGCAGTATTTTCTTTCCAAGTAGTTGGGTACTAGAAAAATGATGTAAATCTTTCTCAGAGAGGCAATGAAAGAAACCACCTCTTTTCTAGTGTGATGGCCTCCAAGAAAGCACTTCTAAACAGAAAGGTGAAAAAAAACAGCACACTTTTCTGGCCTAAGCAGCCAGTTTAGCCGACCGGAGAACTTAATACACCTCGGATCACCTGATTAGCTCATAGCTTTAGCCTACAGCCTTTTAACGGTGCCTGATGGAGAGGAACATACTAAGCCCTTAAAACAGTATTTCACTTTCTTTCTCCCCTTTGGCTTGGTCTGCAACACCATTCACATTTCTTCAAAAAAGTCAAATTACCAATCCTATACCATATGCCACATTGCTGTACCTGTTCCAGAGGCAAATGAAACTTCCTAATGCAATAATCCATCTGAACACTGCCTCAAAAGAGCATACAGGAGCAAGACAAAAGGGCATGCAAGACAAAGAGGTCTTGTTTATTTTTCTACTAAGACTTGGGCATCTAAAGACAGACCTTCATGTCTACTGGCTAAAATTGGCATGGGAAAGTACTAATGATGTGTTGTGCCAATTTCAGAAGCAAAGAAATCATACTGGAAGACGTGGGGAATTACTTTAAGCTGGCACAGAGATGTAAACTGCACAGAGGTAAGACAGCTGTTCTGGGAATCCTCAGAGAAGCAGAGAGGTGTATCGCCAGGAGCACTGTCACATGTAGGACTGGTTGGTGCGATTTGGTTCTTCAACAGTGTTGATGCTGACAGTTAAAAAAAATGCAGGTTCAAGAACACATAGGTCTTCTGGGGTCACTGCCTTCCTCCCTTCCTTTAAGATTAAGTGAAGGGACTTTGACTATCAGTATTTGGTTGGCATCAAGGAACCAACCCAGGAATTTAAGAACAGGCTGAAGTCTCTAGGCAGCAGTTGCCTCAAATGATTGTTTGCATGTGTGGTATCTTCCCAGGAGCCTCAAGCACTGGTCCTGGATTACTGAGCTTTCAGTGACCTGCCCCATCATCTGTTGTATCCTCCTGAATCCAACAGAGTGATCCCACCTGCCATGTTCCACTGGGAACCTTACTGACAGAAAGAAAGATAGCTCCCATTGCTGCCCCAACAAATATGCAACTTAGAAGGCCGGACAGGTCTGTGGACAGGACTGCTAGATAGCAATTCCAGGCAGTTGTGCATCTTCCTTTCTCTAACACTCAGTTTAAAATTAGACATTGTCAAAACCTGAGTGTAATGGTTCCACCTCATTACTGATGCTGCAAGAAGAGCTCAAGAGATTTCCTGGTTCTCATGAATCTTTTCATCTTACCAGCCTGTGGGGCTTTTGGAAGGTGCTTGGATTGGATCTCCACAAGCAGACTGAAACAAATGCATTCATTTCAATTGTCAGGATAAGGGAAGAAGAAAAGATGTGAGATCACTTTTCTGGCACTTACACACTGCATTGCAGAGCTAAGAGAAGAACCTAAGAACCTCAACAGCTCCGTGGCCTATCTTCTACACATGAGACCACACGACCTCCTACTTACACACAAAACAAGAACAGATCACTCAAAACAGTGTGACCTTCACAAAAGCGGAAGCTAGAGGCATTCTCCGAGACAGTTCCTGTTCGAGCAGCAGCATATCCTTCAGGAAAGCAGAGAATACTGGTTTCAATGTTTCTAACAGGGGACATAACCCTTGTTACTCTCATGTCAGTCTAAAAAAGGGCCTCATTTCTCATCTGAATGGAACTTAAAACCATTTTACAGTCATTGCTGTTCTCAATTTTTTAGCATCCCTGTTTAACTGCTGATAGCAACACTGAGAGTGTTCCTGTAAAAAAGTTTCACCAATGCCAAATATAAAGTTAATAGAAATTCCCCGTTTTTACTAAAGATTTCTTTTTGTACCTGTGAGCATTACACTAGCCACACAGAATCGTGTTAGGAAGTAGCTTTCAAGCAGTAACATATAATGATCCACATACTTTCAGTGGCACTTTTACTGCAAAAGAGTCCTTCACATGTGGCCTGAATATTATTTATTAGATGGGTAACGTTACACTACAAATTTGGCTCTACTAAAACGCACATAGTTTACTTGCCGTTGGCTTACCAAGTAATTCTGATCAGTCTGTATCAGTGAGCTGTTCCTTTCATAATTCACAAGCCTGATCTCCCTTCTGTGCTCATATAATTTGCAGCCTTTGTTAGAAGTAGATTTTGTTTCTTTTCAACTTATTCATACAGCTAAGCAAAGCAAGGCCAAGAACTGGTTGCTGGAAGATCCTGATGGAAATACACTCAATTAAGCACCATTTACAATTAAGTTGAGACCTATGAGTTAGCCACATTGTAATCCATTTAATGTGTGCCATGTTGATTTCCGTATTGTTTTAGTTTTCAGTCAAAATATTATGCAGTACCAGTCAAATGCCTTACACAGTCTAAGTATATATGACAACAATACTACCTGTGCCAACCAGGCCTGTTACTTCAAACAAACATACCAAGTTTAAAGATTTATACTTATCTGCTCTGAATTCACATATC